TTCGAGTCCCCAAGTCTGCACTGACAAGTCCTAAAAAAGTCATAATGCACTCGACCCAATACGACCCGCGTTTTACAAAACTGCATTTTGTATGTTGTTGACCCAAAAATAAGTAGTTCAAGATCAAACAACCTATTGTGAGCTGTCAATCGTGTGAATTGTCAGATACAGATTATATGTTGAAATCTACAGTCAAAGCCAAACAGTTGAATGGTTGTGTCTCAACTAATAAGCTGTTGAAAAGATACAAATACTCTAAATAATAAAATATTTATAGGCAGACCATCCAAAGGAATTTTTATTTACAAAAGTATGTTAGAAAAACTTGCAAATGTGTGTGTAGTTCACCTCAAGTAAACCCGAGCATGTGATGTTGTTTCCAGCTGCAAGACACACAGAAAAAAGCACCGACAGACCACGGCAACATATACTGAATCAATCTTTATTTATATTAAATTAAAATATACTTTTGACAGATTCATGTAACAAACATGAGGAACGGTATTTTCTATGATATAAAGCTTTGGGTATGGTTTCAAATAACTCTGGGAGATAGTCGCGGGGAGATAAAGGGACACGGGGAAGCTAACAGTCGGCGAGTTACTCCGAATGCTTTTCTCTCTACGTTGTCTCCTCTAAAAGCATGCAAAACAAATCAGAAATGTAGGGGGCTGTGCTTTGCCTTTTAAGTGGAGACGGGACGTGGCTCAGTAGTATTTCCAGTGGAAAGTAAGCAGATAATGTAACACAGTTTATCTGGGTTGGTTGGCAGCACTGGTTTCAGGTTTACAGGAAATATAAAGGGGGGGGAGATAAAGAGGAAAATACTGTAATGTTCGCTTGTTCCCATTACTGAGTGACAAATGAAATGTGGCGGCATGGGGCAGCGAAACATGTCAACCCCCCCTCTTCCACCATTCCTACTTTTAAACACATACAACTGAAACATTATATGAGGACGGCCACAACGCTCAGGAATAAAAAGGGGCTTCACAAGAGTTTCCACATGAGAAAAAAGGGTCAACAAGCACTTTTTAAAAATCAAATCCCCATTAGTCAAAAAGCTACACTTACATAAAGCAAATATGTACGGCTCTTTCTGTACAAGTTGTTATAAGCAGGAGAAAAAACAGCAGTAGGAGAGAAGACCATACAAATTCAAAGCATTACCTCCATATTTACAAATTCGCAACGTCGTCCGTTTCAGTGCTTTATAAAAATACTATTCACATTTTGTTGTTGTTGAAGTGTGTTAGATAAGGTTCGGAGGAAACCCCAGAGATTCTGTACATGTATACGGATCTGAATAATTTAAAACCCAGGGACATGAAATCGATGAGTTGTTGCAATTACACAGACAGAAGGAATCGCAATGACAAACGTGTTAAATAATGCACAGGTAAAAACAAAAAAGGTCCTTGAAGAAATCCTCAATAATATGGAAACCCACTATTAAAAGGAGTAATATACACAACATAAATCCATGAACGATTTCAGAAATAATGATTCCCAGTTTGTGCTACTGAATTCATACAAAATGTGGGTATTTTCTTCCCATTGAATATAATACTGTCGTCAATGGAGAGATACAAAGGTGAGGGCAGTAAAACACTCACTTTGGGTACCATGCAAGGTGATATTGTACTATACATATACTATACTAGACTCAGCCTGTATGGATGAATTATAGAAGGATTCACTTCAGCAACACCGTGGGCTACATGCCTCTGCACCGTGGGCTCGAAAAGAAACAGTAGACAGTATTAAATAAAAAAAGTGATCAGTCTTAAAACATCAGCGCCGTGGAGTGTTCTTGAACTGCCATGAGCCACACGAGTGTTTATGGGCTGAGACAAATAGCAGCAGGTAACACAGTCCAATGCCATAGGCGAAATGAGATATTAGTCGGCAGAGAGGAAAAATGATTACTTCCAAATTGTGTTACTTTTAAAAACATCAACAAGGCCTTTCCGATGACAAAAATAAGAAGATCAGGTATTTGTCTTCCTTTAGTGGCAATACTCTTGAGAAGATTAATTCAAAGTAAAGGGTCTCGGATAGTTTCAAGTGCTCTCGAGAACACGTGAGGCCTGTCTTTCAGTCTAATCTGGTCTCATAGTTTGAGTCTGTAATTCAGGCCAAACAAGACAGAAATCAAGGCGTGTATTTCTCTTTTTTACCCCCATTTCTTCTTATTGAAACCCAGATTCTGCTTCCATCGCTCAGTATGTATAAACAAACCCAAACACGGCATAAATATTTCACATTGATATTAAATGTTGCCTCTATTTCCTTAAATTAGAGCTCCATTAGGACTACAAATACTCCTTCATCAAATAATCATGATATCATCAAAGCAGCATTAGAAATACTGTTTGAAGCAAAGAAGAGAAAAAAAGCGAGGACATTCTTGAAGCTGGTTAGTACCACCTTAACGGCGTTTTCTTCGTGAACTCCCGGCACCTTCCTCTGACTTTTTGCTAAAGCTTTCTGAAGTGGTAAAAACCAGATAAACAAGTTGAATTTTTCAGTAACGAGGGGTGGAAATCCTTTCTTTCTACCCGCGAGTTTGATCAAAGTGCTCCATGGGGAGGACAAACATGTACAGCTTACTCAGACTAACACTTTCACATGGAAGCAGACATTAAAATACACTAAATAAATATCCTACACAAATAAAATAAAAGCTTAGGCAGGGTTCTACCACAGACGTTAAACATGGCCAACATATGATGGCTAAAAAAACTCACTAAAGATTTGTCATATTGATTCAACTAAGATGATGAGGCCCTCTGAGGAAAACTATCATTACACAATTGTCCTCTTGATCTTTGTAGTTTGGCAAGCTTTGTGGTGTTTTCCCACCCACAGGTCTCTACTCTATGGCTTGGCGGAAGAAATAATGGCTGTAACTCCAGCGCTTTTAGCAGCATTGACTGGCAGTTTGCATGCAGAGGCATCACTAGTGAGGGCTGGAACTATTCTCTGGAGAGTAAAGGCGCGATCAGTTGTCTATTATTGAGTAAACCTTAGTGTGGATACATACTATGATGTCACTCTGGACTTATAATAGATCCAGAATGAAAATCATTGTCCAACAGCTGACTACTAATGCGGTGTTCAAAAAACCGATCCAATCTCTTCCAATATAAGTCATTGTAAATCGGTGTCAGGTGACATACCAACAAACTACGGTGGACAAATAATTCTAGCAACCTTGGACAGCAACCAAGAAGATAACATTTACCTACCCTGTCCCACAGAAAATGGTTCATATAGTATTGATTTTCTTTCCCAAAATATCATTGTCTGGATATCTTCATGATGACTTCATAAAAAGGGCATTCTTTGACTGTTTTCATCGAAATAAATATCTGGTAAGTCTCTATCTAATGTCAAATACATATCAAAATGGTTATAGAGCCAATGGCCCACCGATGAAGGTATTGTAATATTTATATAAAACATTTGCAGTATTAGGAACTGGGTGTCTATGGGAAAGAAAATCAAGAAAGAATGTTGTATTAGGGCACGGTCACCATAAAGGTGTCAAAAGTTGAGCTCAAAAGAAGTGACGGTGCAGATATGCTTGTAATCAGAAGCGAATGTTTTTTCACTCCTACTCTCGCATAGAACGGAAGTCAATGGGTCAACCATTATATTTGCATGTATAGAGTGGTGCAGGGATGACGTATTTACCCGGAGGTAAGCTGCGCATGGGTTCCCTCGACTAAAAAGCAATGGGATTTCTCCATAGGATTTTGGAAAATAGCTGGAAATAAGATCTGTGGAAAACGAACCTGTTTGATAAATGCACGTTTTGTTCAGCCGGATAATCTCCACATGTCTACCCTACTTTTATAATTTCCTAATCGTAAATCTAGTCGCCAGAAGCAAAATGCTAACGTTATGCTATAAACGAACTACAGCAGGGTCGCTGCTTCAACGTCACGCCACCTTAAGATCCATATTCAAAAATACAGATTCTAAATTGTTCAAGTTGAAGCGTTTGTTTGAACAGTCTGCAGGAGGCAGGTACTTGCTTTCAAGCAGAACAGGGCAACCAAACTTAGCGGGAGTGTTTACGTGTTCGGCGTAATGACGGCCTCGACAACTTCTGTAGTCCTATTCAGCCACTTGTTAACAACCATCGTTTTTCTCTCTTCAGAAATCACCAGCGGGTCACTGCTGATGTATTTAATGTCGTAGAACAAAACGTGATCCGCCTCTTAAATGTGTGTCAACCACAGACCTTATTTCCAGCTCTTTTCCAAAATCCTATGGAGGAATCCCGTTGACTCTGAGACGAGGGAACCGGTAGTGGTAAAATGCTAACTCACTTCCGGGTTTTAGGACTCGTCACTGCACCACTCTATTACCGTGCCATTTCACTTTTTTCCATTGTAAAACATATGATATTTTTGATATACTTTATTTATTAATCCCCGTGGGGAAATGGTTTCTCTGCATTTGACGCATCCTGTGTTAGGAGCAGTGTGCTGCCATTTTGAACGGCGCCCGGGGAGCAGTGTAGGGAACGGTGCCTTGCTCAGGGACACCTCGGTAGCACTTGGTCTTGCCGGGACTTGAACTGGTGACCTTCCAGTTGCCAAGCCAAGTCCCTATCGACATCGCTGAGATGAGATATGGAACTATGCCAACACTTTAAGCTCATGTATCCAAAGACTCTGAACTTAAATAGGAATTCTAAATCAATCAGGACTGAAGACTTACATATTGCCATTCTTAAAACGTTTTCTACTTGACTGCAGATGAGGGAAACCTTCGATGTTTGACCAGTGATGGGTTTGTTAGCAGCAGCACTGAACCTGTCAACCATGTTATAACCGACTTCGACCGCAACTCTTCTACAGATAACATGTGAGCACACATACTAGGTCCATTCACACTGACACAAACACACACAAAAAGTAGTCCAGTTTTCTGTGCTCTGCTGGTGCTGTCTCTTTCATTCCTTGAGGTCTTCATTAAGCCGCTTGTAAGAACTTTCCTTCCCCTCAAGATTTTTTAGCTCCTTCTCTCACTGTGTCTCACCGTTCTCAGTTTGGCTGCTTTGTGGTTGGTCTTATTCAGCAGATTCAGGACTCTATGCTCTCATGGCATGACATTCTTTACACATCTACGTTAGCATCCTGGTCTGAATGGGAAAACCAGTGTATACAAATCCATTGTGGCAACACTGTAACCAGTGTCTATAAAAATGTTTACAGTGTATTTCTTCCCTTATTCCCTTTGGCTCGGAAAAAGGCTGTTTTCGCACAGCTTTTCCAAGTAGACAGCAAAAACAACAAAACAGCAGTTGCCCTGTGTATTTTCAGGCAAGTCCATGGTCGAACTACACACGTGAAAGGTAGTTTGGGCCATCACAGTATCACAGTAACAGTAGAAAGATGAGTTTCACATATTTGATGGAGAATTTGAGAATTTGATGGTATAATCCTATGGGCAAAATGATTGAATATGATTGATCAGCTTTCATGAAGCTGGAAGTCCTGACACAACCCTTTCAGTATTTTTCCTCACTCTACAAGGTCATTCACAGAACAAGATATCTTAACATCCAACCGACTGTATTTGCTCTTTCTGTTTGCTTATCTCACAAACCCATAGAAGCGTATTGTCCATCCCCAGACGTTCGTACGTCCTTCCTTTCTTGAAGCTGACTCCACAATGGCTGGCAGTGAGTTCAGGTCCATCTTTGTTGACGCCACTGTAGTTATATTGTGCTGGGACAACACAGTACGTCCACTGCTTTGTGACAGTCATTTATCCTTCACGTTCTCACTGAAATGGAGCGCAGTCTCTATCTACAGGACAGAAATGGACTGGATTGGATATAGTGAAGGTGCGTGGGTCTGCTTGGCTCGGTTTGGACCACCTCCTCCAGATGTCACTACAATCTACAGCAGATGGCACGTTGTTTGAAAACAATTGGGGGCTCTGGTTGTTGCCGCTCCCCTTTGTATGGGACAGTGGAACCGGAGAGGATGTCTGGGTTGCTGGAGGCTAGAGTCACATTGAGGAACGTTTGTCAAATAGAACGATTTAGACCACAGTGTTCCGCTGCCGGTAGGGTGGAGGCGGCAAGACGGTGCCGGACTTCAGGGAAAAGTCCGACATGTATTCAGGGTTTTCAGCTACTGCCGGCCGTATATGTCCGTTCTGCTTGTAGAAGAGCATGGCGTTGGTGGAACCGCCCTGTGCACCCTCCGGGATCGCCTGGTTGGACGATTTGGGAGGCAAGCTGTGCTGCCAGTATTCCGGATTGTCAAAGGTCACCTTCAACTTCTTCCCGCTGAGTTTACCTGTTGTCTGTCCGTGCTTCAGCAAGCTAGCTGGGTGCGAGGTGGCGTGGATCTGGTAGGCTGGCAGGTTGCCGTGCCCGATGGTGGCCGAAGTGGACAAGGCGCCAGATTGGCACACCTGGGCCTGGGCAGACGTTCCTGTTTGGCTGACCATACCGCCACCTGGATTTCCTGCGGGTTTGATGGTGTGGTGGGTGTGGAGGATGTGGGTCGCTGGGCCGTGGTGGCAAGGCAGGCCAGATGGTGAGGGCAGGGCCGTGGGGAGGGGGTAGTGGGGTAGGCTGGTTTGGATTGTAAGCGGGAGGTGGGAGCCTGAAGAAGCAATAGAGCAAGTGGGATGGACGGGTAGGGGCAGACCATTTCTCCTCAGAGCTTCCAGGCCCAGATCAGCGGGGCTGTGGAAGGTGTTGAGGTACAGCGGCTCGTTGATGTACTCGTCCTCTCCTTTGGGCTGGCTGTTGGGCGTGCTGTGGTAGCCGGGGTTGTCCAAGGCGTGGATCTCGCCGTTCTTACGTCGCGTGACAAACGGGTTTTCTTCAATGGGATTCAGATACTCTGTAGCACAGATCAAAGGAGGAGAGGGGAGGGTAGGAAAGAAAAAGAGAAAAAAGGAGTTTAGGATAGAATAAGACAACAAGATCAACAGAAGTCAAATCGATAGAAAAGGAAACATAAGCAATGGAAATTGAAAGAGAGCACGAGAAAGAGATCACTCGCTAATGAGGGTGGAAGATGGAGATGATAATGGCGATAATGGCAGCCACTCAGGAGCAGACGGGCAAAATGCCAGCAGTTCTTTGGCACTGGAAACTCCATCTGCTGGGGGTGAAAATGCCAGCAAATGACCCCTCTTCAATGCTTCCAAGCGCTATAATAGTAGGGTGCAAAACCTATTGATTTTGCCCACTCTTCCGCTCCTTGACATTGCATCACATGCATTCGGCTGCGTGCTTTGTTATATTTTGTGCTGCTCGAGAATCAAAGACGGTAGCGCGAGAGCGAAACTGATGGACAGAATTATGATCAAAGGCAAAACATGACTCTGTAGTAGCTGACATACAGCGTTGAAGGAAACTGGGTAGGAATTTTAATCAATGGAGTGAAATGGAATGAACAGGCAGAATATACTACATGAGTGTACTTACTATGTGAATGAACAAAGACATGACAGAACAGGGGAACAATTTGTTGTACAAACAGGATGTTTGAATTGTCTTCATGGAACAGCACAGATGTGTGTGGCATAGATGATGTTTACGCGACTTTTATATCATGGTGTTTTATACATTTGTAAGAAATTATAATAAGTTAGGGACGGTTATTTCAGAATACCTGTTTGTAAGTGCTCTGGAAAATGATTTGTGTTGCGTTTGACCTACCTGAAGAGCTTTTGTCCTTCATGGGTGTCATGTATCCGTCCTCATCAGTGTCCCCTCTTGTGCCCTCTCCCCCAAGAAGATGGTGGGGTCTGCGCTGTACCTCTGACCCCCACTGTCCTCTCCCTGGCTCAGGCTCTTCTTATGCAGGCTGCCGTTACAGCGCTGGTCCTCCAGGGCCGGATCCGGTCCACCTGTTGCTTCCTGGTTCATGGCGGCTTGGGCCCCTGGCCACAGAGCCCTCTGCAGGGATTGGACCCCCCGTCTCGATAGCCAAATTGTTCTGTGGCAAAAATGGGTTGCAGATAGAGAAGATAAATACTGTTATCTTTGTTCTGCTTCCAATCTTTTGGTGATAAAAGAGCAGTTAAAAAAATCAACTCAAGATGTCTAAGGTTCAATTGAATCACAACAAATACACCAAAAAGTTGGAGTGAGTTTAAGCCAGCTGGATGCCACCTGCGGCAAAGGAAGTGAGACTTTTAACCCGTGCAGCTGCCTGTTGAAGGGAACATTCTCCAACAAAGTTCTGCAAATGTAGTCATCAGCCTTAAGGGACTGCAAGGGCAGCCAGGCGGAAGCTTGCATACAAACACTCTGAACCTCAAAAAAGAACAAAAAAACCCACAAGACAATACAAAACATGAACATGTGAAGCAAAGGGCTTCTTGTGTTGCTGTGCTGGATCGCCGCAGGCTGTTAACCCAGGCCTTCTCCTCGCCACTCTTGCAACTGCTAGCGCTACAGCAGCAATTACAGGAAGCAGAGCTACAAAACACAACAGAGGAAAACAAGAAACGTCCCGAGGTTATAACCGTGCACTTACTCCCACTGTCTGCCCTCCATTGCAATCAACTTCCCCCACCTCCAAACTTCTCTGTTCATCCCTTCTTCAAAGCCAGTCATTATCTGCTCCTCTTTTCAAGTATGAGCGTGAGATCAAATCAGCCCAGATTAGATAAGCGTCTGTATCGGACTGCGGCAGCGCAACCTGAATAACTAACTTCCTGTGGCAAAGTCAGCCAGCCGATGGATTTTAACAATGGCTTACATTCCCTCTGTGGGCATGTAAGTGCTTTTGACTGCCTAATCAAAAGAGTTCCAATTCAAGATAGGGATGTTGACCTTGAATTGCAAACCTTGGAAGGATTACTTTGCGTGTTTCTTTCGGGTGTGTTCGTCAGGGAACAAAGTCCCGCCGGCAAACTGCTAGGTCACAGGGGTAAAGGTGCATAAGATGCAGAGCCTTGGGCCCGGCGGCACACGTGCACGCCGCAGAGCAAACACCCGAGCCTGCGCTCATTATCTATTAGTAAATGGCGGTGGCATTTTAAGAGAGCTTCTGCTATTTGCTACTGCAGCTTTGGAGTAATGAAACCTGGGGCCTGGTGAGCTAGCGTGTAAAGAGCCCAGGTTTAAGCCACACACCGCTGGGTTGGAAATGATGGAGGTGGGCCATTAGTGGAGGAAAATGATCAGTGTATTCAAAGTTCTTAACCACCTTGACCACGTATGGAGGACAGTGAGTTGGGGTTGTTTTCAAAGAGAAAGAAAAATAAGTTATGCTTGATGTTAAATCAGAACACACAAGGTTTTGTTAGGATATGTGGTGTGTTATCATATTAAACTGTTTAAAACTGGTTGAACAAACTGAAAAAAATATTTGTTTAGGGTGACGAAAATGTTGCAATTGACATATATATTGGTGTGCTTACTCTGTTTGAGTCGACGCGAGGCCTGGTTGTGTATGACGGAGGAGGCATGTTGAAGCCTTGAGGCACCAGATACTCGTCGGCATCCATCAGGTCGTTCAGGTCCTCTTCATCCAGAAGGCTCTGGAAGAACTTGCTGTCATTGGGGCTGGGGAGCTTCATGCGGTCATCCCCCTGAAAAGTAGAAAAGTGAAACCATGTAAGCGACAACATCAGATTCTATATTGCACAAAAAAGCACCACAAAATGTCTCAGAAGATCGAAATATGTTCATTCTGATATTACTACTGTCCCTTTAAAAGCCTTTTGTATTGAGTGCTCTGACAGTGAGGTAAACCCACCTGGATGACAAGGTATCGCTGGGGGTCCCGAGCCATTCTGCAGAACTCAGCAGCCAGCTCCTTGAACTTGGGCCTGCTGTCTGCGTCAATCATCCAGCCTGAGGGAGAGAAAGACACTTATTTAGCAGTGGAAGACATACATGATTTGCATATGGACTAAAAAATATATATGATCTGGTAGAAACACCACAATGCTGACACAAAAAGGGGAAAGGTCGCCACTTGGCTGAATGATGGGATGGTTTACTTTAGTTTTTGTCATTTTAAGACGGTTTAATGCAAGAATGTTACTTTTTGGTAGAAATGCAGCTTGCATTTTTAGTCCTGTAACTGCATTTCATCTGTGTCCCAAAATGACCCTGCCACACAGTATCAGTATTTGTCGATACAAAATTGAAAATGATGGTTAACTGCCGTTAATTGTCCGGTAGAAAATACAAAAAACAGTGGAGGAGCAAGCATGATGTTTACCTAAACAAACTTTTAAGTGCCTTGCTTAAGGGCAACTTAGAGGTAGTTATTAAACTAGACTAGTAAAGTGTTTCTCATTTTGATCTCCAGCCTACTTTGTCTCCCACAGCCGCAGTAAACACAGCAAAGCGCTGCAGGTGGAGAGAGGCCAGGTGGTGTCTCGGCTCAGATTGGGCAGTAAAGCAACCTGAGTTTCTGATTTACATATTATACAACAGTGATGGCTGAAGTGGGGTCTGGCAGCCTCTAGCAACCCGACATGGAGGTATCATATCTCACCAGCAAGATAGAATTGCTTCATTTTTCTATATTTGACTGGTAACCACAGTGAGAGGATACAATAATTCATCCCAAGCTAAAATGTATGCGGTGAAAAGGATGTTTTGATCTTATATTAAGTTCTCCTCAAATGAATCGCAGACCTTCACTGTTGTCATTCCACCTGCCCGTCTGCACTTGGTTAATCTGCTTTCCGCTTGCCCCCCCCCCCACGCAGGCACATTACCTTAAATGAGGTGCAATTACTCCGGCAATCAAACTCTATTTCATCTTTATTGGGGTGGCGCTGAGGCGGCGGGACACGCAGTGTGGCAGCGCAACAAATCACAAACACGGCTCTCAGTCAACATGTAATTAGAATTAATGCGGCCAATTGTTTCCGTTTGGCTCTGCGTCAGGTCCCCCGCCTGACCCTCCTGCTGGTCTGACTCACTGGCTATTTCTGACCACTGTTAATATAAGTTACAAGTGAAAGTAGCAATACTGAAGTCTACAAATACTATGTTAGGGCTGCAGGATAGCTCAGTGGTTAAAGCTGACAGCCCGTTTCACCTCTGTATCTCTCATAAAGGCACTCTCTTGCCCAAAAAGTATCAACATATATTTTTAAAGTTGCAATTAAAAGGCAAGCAATCAAAATGTTACCTTAGTAAAAGTACAACATAATTGGGAACAGGTAAAAGTGGTCACAGTGTATTATATAGGTCAGTGGTTCTCAACCTTTTTACACCAAGTACCACCTGAGAAAATAATTGGCTCTCCAAGTACCACCATATGACCAATGTTAAAGGGGACATATCATGCTATATTTGAACAATATATTGTAGGGCCATACCTATATGAAGTATATAAATATAGTTTTTTTTTTCAAAATACCAAACAGATCCTGCATTTTAGCCATGCCTCATTTCGCACTATTTGCTCTTTCCAGCCCTGTTTTTTAGGGGGCTGATTCTGTGAGCTGCTGCTGACCACGCCCCCCTGCAGGAGAGGGGAGTGTGCTTTGAGCTCAGCTGCTGGGCTGTCAGAAGAGGGGGAGAAAAAGAGATCTCCGTTCTCCGTGTTTTATTCTTATAGAAGTAAGAAGAGAAGTAATGGGGCAGAAACCCTCCTTTTTACGCAGCGGTCCAGACATAGACATCAAACGGCGACACATATTCAGTTGCCAGTTTCCTTTGGCATTAGGGCAGGGGATATCTAGATACTTTCCAAGGTTTGACATAATGAATTGATGCTACTTTTAAAGCAGCAACGATGTTTTCAAATCTGTAATCAAAAAGCTCCTCAAAAACACTATCGAAGCAGTTCCTGGCCGTTGCTACGTTAGTTCAAACAGTAACAACGGACTATTTTTCTTAGCGGATGCATGTCAATTTAAATCAATACATACAACTATTTTTTAAATCAATAAAATCATTTTCTAAATCCATAAAAGCATTTAAATTAATATTGGGAGTCATATCGTTACTTCGTTGAGAATGTGGCCATGTAATAAGCGGGATAATGTGCAGCGACTTGGTCATTATGGGAAAATAACACCTTCATGCTGATCTAGATCCCTCCGCTCCTGATCAGCCTGTCGGTGTTCTTTTCCCATAATGACCGCGTCGCTGCACATTATCCCTTACATATGAGTATATCGAGTCATTATTCATTTGTTATTAAAAGCAGGAGGCGCAACCGCTTGCCTCGGGAGGGAGAAAAAGAGCCACAGCGGAGAATAAACAGAAGGGCCACCATGCACGGGAAGTCTTCTTCGCTGCTTTTGTGGCAGACTACAGCGCCACTTACAGGCCTGGCACATGTACTACAAAGCGTCTCCAGCGCTTTCGAGCAGCAATGGCCGGCCGTGGCCCAACCTCTCATTCCCCTGATAGGTGGAGAATTGACCACTAAGCGGAGCACACCTTTTGTGACGTAGAAAATAAGTCAAATCTGGATCAGTCCTGGTATCAGATCCGTTACAGACCCTTTTTTTTTAGATTTGGGTAAGAGGAAAAGAGAGAGGGTTGTGTTTTTCTGACACTTGGTGAGTTCCCTGACACACCGGGGACACATATTCATGTATAAAAGACGTACAAGAGTGCATTTTGCATGATAGGTCCCCTTAAAATACAGTTCTAATGCACAGTTCATGCAGGACTCGGAGGCAAATGTATTCATAATAACATTATCTATTGTCAGCCACAGCTGAAACATCACACACAACCACACACACACACCACACACACACACACACACACACACACACACACACACACACACACACACACAACACACACACCACACACACACACCCACACACACACACACACACACACACACAGCACACACACACACACACACACACACACACACACACACACACCCACACACACACACACACCACAGCAACACACACACACACACACACACACACACACATCACACACACACACATTTATAATATAAATAACAAAATAATAACTTATTCTCACACAACCAAATTACAACTGTACACACATTTCATTTCCTATGTCAAAGTTTGAATGTAGGCAACAACCTACATTGTAACAGAAAATTCCTATTGGGAATTCAGTTCCACAATAATAATGAAGCCTCCAGGAGCAGATGAGCCTAAGGGCTAATAGCTCATCTTCAGTCTGCTGTTTGCTATTGCCATTTCTGTGGTGGCAAAGCAAAAAAGAAAAGAAAAAAGATAACAATTACAGAATTAAGTGTGTGCTTTTTCAAGCGTTTGACCTCGGTCACAGCCTTCTCTCCATTCTTTGCACAAATGCCTTCTTCCTGAGTCACTTCTCTCCTCCATCACAGTGGCTGTGCATATCACTTTTGCGTTGCTTGCGGAGCCTGCGCTTGTGCTCGGTTGATGACTGTCCTCCATAATAATAACATTCACTTGTTCACTTTCGCTGGTAACATTCTCCTCTGTACCCCCTCCCACCCTGGACACAAACTGTTCAGCCCCCTCCCCTCTGGCAGGAGGCTGCGCTCCATCGGGACCAGGACCTCTCGCCACCTGAACAGTTTCTTCCCTCCGCTGGCGGCCTCTTAAACAAGGCCCGCCCCCCACTGACACTTTACCTCTGCCACATCTCTATATGCATTACATGAATGCACACAATGTTTCATACTCCTTTCTGCACATATTCTTATTTCACATTTCATAGTTATTCTAAAATTCATTCATAGCATTCTATTTCCATGTAAATTACTGCTTTATTTATTTGTATTGCTATTTAACTGTATTTTATTACGGTGTAAAAATATTTTTTTAGATATTATGCGCCGTGACAATCAAGTCAAATTCCTAGTAGGTGCGAACCTACTTGACAATAAACCTGTTTCTGATTCTAATTCTTCTGAATACCTCCCGTTTTGAGCCACGTTTTTAACATCATTCAGCTTTCTTCTTTCTTTAGCTTACTTGCAAACGTTCGCTAATCGTTCGTGGGTAGTATGGTCGTCATTAGCAACGCTAATACGCTTTAAATTTGTTTCTAAATCTAAAAACAACAATAGCCAATTAGAACTTAAACCACAGTTTCAATTACTCAAGCTTATTTTCATTCGTTGTAGTATTTTGATAGTATGATTTATTTTTGTATTAATGTTATTCAATCAAGCCTCAAACTGATGGCACTTGTCCCTATAGTCTGTTTTAAATGGAAGTTGTCTGAGATCCTTACCACCAGCTGCTCTTGCAGTAATAAATAGTGTACCTTTCTTACTGTCCTAAATGTGCACAATGGAGTGACTGCTTTTCGTCTTTTGTTTACTTAGTTGTGTTTTCTGTATTTTTTACGTCTGTGTTATGTGTAAGAACCGTTGCTGCCTTCTTGGCCAGGTCAGCGTTGTAAATGAGATGTTGTCTCAATGTTTTCATCTGGTTAAATAAAGTGTAAAAAGAAAAGAAAAAAAAAGAAAACGCGTACCACAGGTTGAGAACCACATACTGTAAAGAAACTTGTAATTAAGTGGTTAAATAAATGTGGTTGAGTATAAAGTAAGTAGCAGAAAATGAAAATGCTCAGGTAATGTAAAGTGCAAGTACCTAAACAAAATGTACTTAACCACAATACTTACGTAAATTCCCTTTAAATAATTTCACCTATGTGTACGTGCTTTTAAATATGAACCTGTATAGAAGTGGGTAAAAATGACAGCGAAAGGAAAATGATTGATATCAGCTACCAGGCTTGAATATTACAAATAAATCAGGAACACGTGGGAGCCCTAAAGCATGTTAAGTTAAGGGAATCCCTGTAACCTCAGCATTTGAATCATAATTGTTCAGACATTTAACATAGCACATACAATTTATTCTCCTCTTGTGGGAGGAATGAGTTGGCGTTGTTATTAGGGTAAATGGCTGTAGGGCCTGCTTCTGTGCTGTCAAAAGCCATTGGCATGACTGTTTCCATTTGGAAAAAGAAAAATTGGATATTATGACATTTCGGAAAGGATTAACATTTTTCCGTCAGGGGAATAGGCTTTGATATGGATCTCCAAGCGGGATCGCATCGATGTCTTTCAACACATTTGGCATTTTCTAATGCTCCAGCAGAATTTAAAAGTTTCATTTCAATTTCAAGTAGAACAGATACAAGATGTGTCCAATTAAAATAACTTAAAAACAAGGGAAAACAAGTCATAAAGTTGATGTGTGGCCATTTTTACGTCGACCAGCAGTAGACAGGAAGTGACTGAAATAATCTACCCCACCAAAGTTGGGTTCAGTGTGGAGGAAACGGAGAGCCAAGCAGCCGATAGCTGGCAGATCCAATAGCATGGATTGGCACGCACGCCTGGAGCGTTTCCTGGAAATATGGGAGGGGTGGATCCCTCTGCAGCCATGTTTACCAGAACCAGAATCCAGCCAGGGGAAGATGGGAGAATTTGTGACGGATGAATACAAAGTGGGTTTTTGGATGAGTTCGGGGGCTACGGCTGGGGGGGAGGTGCAGTCGTCCAGATGGAGGATGACACCGACAAAGATGTTGCAGACCATAAAGCAGCCAGTTTTCCGAATTGTTTCCTCCTCTCTCCTCTTTACATACCCGCTTCCCTTCCAATGGGAGCCCCAGAGCTCAGATAACCAGATGCATATTAAAAAATATTAACCCTACAACTCATCGGTGACACCTCAAAGCTGTGTTGGAGCGGTGGATAAACATGATTTAAAAATAAGATTATGTCCGCCACAAAACTCATTGAGTTAGAGTGTTGTTCGGAAACATTGCCTTTAACCCTTTAAAGCATCTATGCCAGCGGTTTTCAAAGTGTGAGGCGCGCCTCCCTGGTGGGGGCGCCAGAGAGATTCAGGGGAGGCGCAGCTTGAGAAAAAACATTACGAGAAAAAGACGAGTAAAGTGTCACCTGCACATTTTGGCTGTCTGTGGAGACAGAGTTCCCCCACCTCGACAAAAAGGCTGTAAAAGTGCTTATTCCCTTCACCTCCACCCAGGGGCGGACTGGCCATCTCTGTGTTCTGGAGAATCACAGAACGGCCGGCTCGGTTCGCTGACGGCCGGCACCGCCCTTTATTTTTTATGTTTTTAAACGGCATCATTTAAGTTACGCTGACAGGCAAGGTCCGTTCAGCAGGCCGTTTCCACGCAGCGAGGCCCCCCCCCCTCCGTTGACAGTTCACTAGCGTGCTCCACCAATTTGTGTGGGCTGGACTGGGTGAGATTCCAGGGCTGATTTTTAGTCCCAGTCCGCCCCTGCCTCCATCTACCTGTGTGAGTGCGGGTTTTCTGCATTGACTCAAAAGCTAGTGCCGGTCAAGGCTGCAGCCAGAGGAGGATCTGCATTTATTCCTGTCTACATTGCATCCCCGCATTATCAGCCTGTCCGCATCAAAGACACAGACTCATTGTTCCCACTAAAGTAGGGGTGAGTGTGATAAGGAGGCAAAGTTGAGGTTCAGTGTGTTGCCGGGAGCATATAAGGATGTATCCACGATGTTGAAAATGTAAAAACTATTTTTTTTAAAAACATAAAGATAACAAGGTTTAAAAAAGTATTGTTTAATTATTTAAGGAGGTGACGCTACTCAGCCAATCAAATCGGTGCAGTCAGTGAGTCAGCACGATAGATTCAACCACACACACAGAGACGAGATAAGAGGAGAGTAATTTCAAACGCGTGCTCAAAAGAGAGAAAAGTAGCAATGTCCACTATTTTCAACCCTCAAAATTGATAGTTGATAGAGTGTCTCTCCTTGAAGAATAGTACCATGTTCTTTCTTACAGTGAGATAAATTAAAAGATTGTCGTATCGCATGAACCATATTTGCATCTTGTTTGTGAGTGTCTGTATGTGTTATTATGTAGTGTGCGTTTCCTCACATTTCACCATGACCATGTAGACATCTATGGTGCAAATTGGCGGCTGCGGCAGACGCTCCCCTTTCTCCAGGATGTCGGGGATTTCTCTCGTGGGGATGCCGTCGTACGGTTTGCCCCCGAATGTCATCAGCTCCCAGATGGTCACTCCTGGAGGACGTCGGGGAAAGGAAACAGGAAACAAGAAAGATGGAGAAACGATATTAGAAGAAAGAAAAAGGGGCAAAATGGAAATGAAGAAAACGATGACACAACAAGGAGGACCCACCATAACTCCACACGTCACTCTGATGGGTGAACTTCCTGTAGTGGATGCATTCCAGAGCCATCCATTTAATGGGCATCTGAGGAGAGAAATACGGACACAAACATTTTAATATTGAAAAAGACAGAAAATCACATCTGACAATCTTCCATTATTTCCAATATTCGGCTCAACAGCTGACCTATCTTTTAATCCAGCGTTTGTGAGATATCGGAAAATCGACAAGCATATTTTGCTGTGATTGATTCGCTCCAGTCCAACCCTGGGATCATCATAGTGGGCGTACTTTTTTTGCATTGGCCTCACATTATCTCCACGATGTGGGAAATAGTAATA